CCTGAAACAAAAGAGGCGCGGCCGAGAGATCTTCATGATGTTGGCTATTTCTGGGCTTCTGCCGTTTTGGTGTGTTCAACTCCAGCGCGCTAAGCTGCCCGGATGCCCTGAGGGGAGGCGATGCTTGCTGAACTGGGCACCGTGGCACGTTATTCAGTTGGGGGTCGCACCTCCAACAGGAAAGGCGTCGAGCGTTAAGGTTGTTTCGAAACGGACCTCGCATGGCGAACACGTCCTGTGGCCGCCTGTTTGCCGGGGAAGGGAAATGAGGGAGGGGCGCCGGACGGTGGCGGTGCCGACCGCTGGACGTCGACCACACACGTGGGTTTGCCGGCCTGCTGCAGCGAGCGACATGCGCTATACGACTGCCCAAACAGCTTCATGTCGTCTTGCTCAGCGCCTGGCGAGTTGAACGAGATGAGGGATGGTCTCTCTGGATGCTGCGTCGCTGGTGAGTCTTGTTGGGGAGTAGTGTGTGGCTTGCTGCGGACGGTGAAGCCCGCACCAGGAAGGCCAGGCCGCCAGACACGCGAGGGTGACGGCCCTGTTGGGGGCCAAGGTTGCCGTTAGACCACCTCTTAGTCGAGTCTGATAAGAGAGGGGCGATGTTGCGCTGCCGGTGGGCGTTGGACGGTAGGTCGTCCTACTACTGCAAGCATGGCATCATGAGATGGGGTGGGTGGGTGGACGGCAACTGAAATTTGCTTCTCAATCTCAACCCTTTTGCTGCTCTGGGCTCGAGCTTGACTGGTAGGGCCGTCTGCTCGACGTGCCGTTGCCGCCGCTGTCAGTCGTTTGAGCTGCGGATGCCGGTGCTGCCTCGGGCGTAGGGTTGCTGCCACGAATAGGCAGTCTTCTCCGCCTCTTGCTGTCCTGGCCCTCGGCAACGACTTCTTCAGGTTTGGGGTCTCGGTGTGGGACGGGGGTAGTAGGTCTGGCCCTCTTAGCCTCTTCATGCTGCTCGTCTAGCTCGAGAAACATTTTGTCTGGAGATGGAGGCAAGCTACCACTGATGACTTGGTCGATGCCCCGTTTCTTTCTTGGTCGAGGAGACGATGGGCTTGCTCGAGGTGGCAGACGCATGTCTATCAAGCTATCGGCGAGAAAAGTGCGAGCAACACGGCGGCCGTCTGGGTCCTGGAGGAGAGATTCCGGGGTGGGCAGTCTTGAGCTCCGTCCGCTGCGTCCGCTAAGGCGGCTGTCAGACGTGATACCCAGCGGTGGACCCGATTGCATCAGGGACTCTCACCTTGTACTCGGCGGGTGGACGCGAGACGAGGTCGCCCCGGCCTCTGCTGTGGCTTCTGATTTGCCGTCTTCGCACATTGTCAGGAACGATTTGGTGGGGGTATTTTAGTTGACGACTGGTGATCAGAGTTGTAGCAATTTCGGTAGTGCAGGTTGCAAGTCGTGGTGTTGCAACGCGGGCGTCCCGTCAACTTTGAACAAGAGGGCCGTCCGTGGCAGATCAGATGGGCGGCGCCCAGATTCAGAGGAAGCCCCGGGAGATCAGAGGCCGTGCTGCTGGCGTAGAGCTCCATTCGCGAATTTCATGCGAAATGCGGATTACCGAGATGTCTCGCAAGGAGCTGCATCATAAGGCCAAGAGCATCTGGTTGTGTGAGGCGTAGTTCAGTGGCTGCAGCATTGTACAGCATTGTAAGGTGCACTTTGCGCCTGTCGAATGAATCGCGGAGGGAAGGCAGAGTCATGGATACGAGATGTCTTGGAAAAGTCTGACGCCGTCAAAGGTTCCAACGATGCGTCGGTCAAACGGTGGCTTGGAATGACCAAAGATAGAAGACTTGTAGGTATTCGTACGAACGAGCGCTGCATATGTCACGGCGAGGAAGACGTACAAAGTACGGATACGTACGGACGTCAAGCTGGGACGAAAGTAGCCCAGTTCTTGCCTGCATTGGCAGCATGGCCCCTGCAGTAGCAGGCAGGTGGAGGGAGCAAACCTTAAGTGGTTTTGCTGATTAAGGAAGTGCTCACGTGATGACGCATCTGAAGACGCGACGTAGGCCCCACCCGGCCACGCTTTGAGTAACAGTGCTGTGGCCGAGGAAGGCAAGACACGACACTGCACCGACCTACGACAGACAGGTGGACATGTAATTGCACTTGTGCAAGGCAAGAAAACGCAGTCCGGAGATTGCCATCTACCAATCGTGGGGATTTCGTCCTCGCCTCACTCCCATCGCTGCGAATACTGGACGCCACCGCGAATACCACCAGAATACCACAAGAATACCACAACACGCCTCCCCGTCTCAGTTCAATGCCCGCACCTACAAGACCCAACCTCCCGCGCTAGATCGAGAGGAAATCTCCGACGTGATGGATACCGATTCCCCTGTCGGCACGAAACGAAAGGCGGAGGAAGATCCCGATGAGTCTCGTGCGCCCCGCCGCATTCGCGTGAGCTGCACTTTTGCGCCTCGTTTGGTGTGTCATTTTCTGACCCCCGCTGCTAGGCCCTTGACCCCAATGTCGTCAATAAAATCGCTGCTGGAGAAATCATCGTCGCTCCCGTCAATGCCCTGAAGGAGCTGATTGAGAACGCCGTCGATGCAGGCGCCACCTCAGTAGAGGTCCTTGTCAAGGAGGGCGGCCTCAAACTTCTGCAGATCACCGACAACGGCTGTGGTATCCAAGTAAGCTCAGCTCCGCATCTTTGACCCTCAAGCTTGCTCTGACCTCTGTCCAGAAAGGTGACCTGGAGATTCTCTGCGAGCGTCACACCACTTCCAAAATCACCTCATTCGAGGACCTCACCTCCATCGCCACATATGGCTTCCGAGGCGAGGCACTAGCAAGTATTAGCCACATTGCACACCTCTCCGTCACCACCAAAACCAGTGATTCCAACTGCGCATGGCGTGCTCATTACCTCGATGGCAAGCTGGCGCCCGCAAAACCCGGTCAGCCCGCCGAACCAAAGCCAACCGCCGGTCGCCAGGGCACCCAGATCAGTGTCGAAGACCTGTTCTTCAACGTCTCGACCCGTAGAAGAGCTTTCAGATCCCCCGCCGAAGAGTACAACAAAATCATTGACGTCGTGGGCCGCTACGCCATCCACTGTAAGGGAGTGGGCTTCTCCTGCAAGAAGCATGGCGAGTCGGGCACAAGCATCTCCATACAAGCACTTGCCACCGAGGTCGATCGCATTCGCCAGATCTATGGATCAAGCGTTGCCAACGAGTTGATGGAGTTTGACACCTCTGAAGACCGTTGGGGTTTCAAAGCGAACGGCTGGGCAACCAATGCCAACTATCACATCAAGAAGACTACTCTACTCCTCTTCATCAATCACCGGTCCGTGGACTCTAGCAACATCAAGAAGGCCCTTGAGCAGTTATACGCCACATTTCTGCCAAAGGGAGGCCGCCCCTTCATCTACCTCAGCCTGGAGATTGACCCTTCCCGCGTCGATGTCAATGTGCATCCCACCAAAAGGGAAGTGCACTTCCTCAACGAGGATGACATCATCCAGTCCATCTGTGAACACATCCGGTCGAAACTTGCTGAGGTGGACACAAGCCGCACCTTCATGACGCAGAGCCTGCTGCCGGGTAGCCAGCTGATGCACATGTCGAACCAGGAAGAAACTGAAGGCAGCCCAAGTACCCCGGACAAACAAACGCCAGGCTCCAAACGGCCACGGAGGAACTCCAACAACCTCGTCCGTACCGATACAAGCTTGCGCAAAATTACCAGCATGCTCCCTGCTGCGGCAGTTGCTGCAACACCATCCAAAGCACCGCCATCCGCCGGTGAGAATGCGTTGTCCGTCTCAGAAAACATTCAGTATGAGATTGTGAATAAGCCTTTCGCTCAGATGAAGCTTACTAGCGTCAAAGAGCTTCGTGCCGAGGTCAGAGAAGACATGCACAATGACCTCACCGAAATATTTGCCAACCACACTTTCGTCGGTGTCGTCGACGAGCGGCGGCGCTTAGCAGCCATCCAGGGCGGCGTGAAGCTGTATTTGATTGACTATGGCCGCGCCTGTTTCGAGTACTGCTATCAAGTCGGCCTCACCGACTTTGGCAACTTCGGCACAATTCGCTTCACTCCCCCGCTTGATCTACGAGAGGTCCTTCGTATTGGAGCCGAGATGGAGAAGAATAACGTTGAGTCAGAGGAAGAGGACTTTGACGTGGATGTGGTCGTCGAAAAGGTCGCCGCACAGCTTATTGAGCGGCGTGAGATGATTGGCGAATACTTTTCCCTCGAAGTCAGCCCTGCGGGAGAGCTACTCAGCATTCCCCTTTTGATCAAGGGTTACACTCCGCCCATGGTCAAGCTGCCCCGCTTTCTGCTCCGCCTTGGGCCATGCGTCAACTGGAATGACGAGAAGCCGTGCTTTGAGCTCTTTTTGAAGGAGCTTGCGACCTTTTACGTACCCGAGCAGCTGCCGCCAACCGTCGGAGGCGCCGAGGACAACGAGGAGACGGCGAACATGGACGAGGAGATCGCAATGCGGCGGAGAAACGTGCGTTGGGCCGTCGAGCATATCTTCTTTCCAGCCTTCAAGGCGAGGCTGGTTGCGACGACATCGATGATGAAGGCGGCTGTGTTGGAGGTTGCTGATCTCAAGGGGTTGTATCGCGTATTTGAGCGATGTTGACGAGCATTTGGGATGAGCTTGACATGATGAGTGTAACTACTGGCACCTACTAACGAATATAACCCGGAGCTTGAGAGCTGTGAATGATCATACTTTCTGAAGTTCCCCAGCCACACATGGCACCGCCTTCAACTTGTACGTGTTGGAGCTGTAAATTTCTCGTGAGTGGAATCCCACTAGTACCCTCAATTGACTTCTGCGTTGACTCTGTCCTTTGGATTGTGCACACGTGCAAGTCCCCACCATCCGAGATCTGGCATGCGTTTCCGTCGCAACAGAAAGCCGTACGTAACGACCATGCAGAGTTACACCCCGGCGGTCGCCAACTTCGTAGCCGAGCGAGACCGCTCTCGATGAATCTTCATCAACCCAACTCAGCCGCGTTATTTCCTGTCCCTCTCGAGTTCACAGCCGAGGCCTCATGCCGCGGGCCTTCCCCGCTCACACCACTGAAGTGCGACACTGGGGTGTACTGTGGGACAGGAGACATCGAGACGGGTCGCTGCTGGGCGATTTGTTGGTTCCAGCCCTTGGCCTGGCCGTCGGGACTTGTAGGTTGCTGCACTGGAGATGTGGTGGCATATGGCTGGATCGCAGGCTGGCTGGTTTCGGGCGCGTTCGTTGGAGCAGGTGGCTCGTTGGTGCGGGCTCCCCTTCTTCGACGCACGATGAGCCAGACGATGATGCATGCTGCGAGGGCAATGAATGCGACGCCGCCTACGCCTCCGCCGACGATGGCACCGGTGTTGCTGTGTGGTTGGTCTGAGGTCGAGGATGATGCGTCCGCAGTGGTTGAGGCAAGGGCTGAGGATGGCGAAGAGTCGGATGCAGAAGTTGTTGTCGGGTCTGAGGGCCTCGAAACGTATTCAACAACCGTCACAGTACGTGTCGGAACTGGCGAGACCACACTTGACATTACGAACGCTGTCCTTGACGTGCCGACCGCCCAGTCGTCGTTGTAGCAACCTTTCAATGTCGCGTATGTGGGGGACACCCATTTACTGTAAGTTACACATCGTGGCGAATAGCCACCATAGGTCACCGTGCTAAAAGGGAATTTCCCTGCCGCATCAGCATCTGGCCATTCCCAATCATCGCACGCCATATCCAAGTTAGAGAAGGGCGCAGGAGACTTGGTGGTACATACCAACACCGAGTTGCGATTCCTATCGAAGAGCCAGACCGACATTGAGTCGCCGTGCCATCGTAGCATGCGGTTACTGGGTTGCTGGAGGACCCGCATCCGAACCACGAACCGGAGGTCTGGCAGGGAGCCGACGATGGGCATATGTAGGGGCTCGCAGCTTCGCGATGGTTAGCAGCCGATGTGGAGAATCTACTTTGGATGGGTATGCTCTGACTTGAGTAGAGATCACGCGCGACACCGCAGGTCAGTGAAACGTCTCTGGGAGCTAATGCGGCGTTTCTGAACCGCACTCGTGGTGCAGGTGTTGGTACTGGAGAGATGCCGTCGCCAGGGGGGTTGCCATGTATAGTGGTGTGGTAACCACCAGATTCTTCCATCGTGATGCAAGTGAGCTGGAGTTTCGAGGCGTTGGATAGCCCCTGATCGCGACGTAGTTCTGCGCAGTGGTCAGAGTGGAACGAGACAGTGATGCAGACCTGGGTTCATGGGCCAGCAAAGATTGAGGGAAACCCAACTATCTAAATAGCTTCTCTCACCGCCAAATTGACTGCGGCTGATATTTTGTCTCGGAAATGGATCCCTCCATTTCATGTTTGCATTTCTTCAGGGCTTCGAGCAATATCGCATTCATACGTGGCTTAGGCCCGGCGGGCAGTCTCCAGACCGAGCGGGCTCAACACTCGACCCAAAGGCAGCTCCAGTACCATGCCCCAGCAACGTGTAATGCCCAGATCAAGAAGATAAGACAAACTCACCTAGGACCCAGGCAGACAGGCATCCGAGGGAGATATAACCGGCCACTCAGAGCCACTCCAACTTTTGGCGCGGAATCAAGCCGCAAGTCGTGCGTGAGCGGCAAGCGGCCGCCAATAAGACAAGCCTTGAAGCCCATTTCTCGAGAGCAATTATTGGGTCGAAGTCATGGTAAAACTAGCTGAGCCGCAAAACCTTCCCTGAATGCCTTCGAGACTCGGAGCTCCAGGCTTCTTGTCAATCTTGCAGGAGCAAGATAGGTAAGAGACATGCCGGCGCAGCAAAGACCCCTGTACTTGGGTCAACTTATCAAGAGTGATATCTTCTGGGTAAAACCATCAAAGTCCTTGAGTCGGGACTTTCCGAATCAGCGAGCAACCTTCTCAATGTTGCTTGAAAGACCATCGCATGATTGAATCAAGCTGCAAGAGACGCATCTTTGTGTTGCATGTAAGATCAGAGTGGAGTAAGCGCTTAACTCAACTATAACACCAACTATATCGGACAAAAACTGTCTGATTTATCGGAAAGTCCTGTCGTTCTCGAACGACACTGTCGCGTTCACACGGGAGTCGTCGGCACGATGAGGAGCCGAGGACTTCGGCCCCGGACGCACCCCCTGCACCTGGACAGTGGTGCAATTCGGAGAAGCAGACCCACCTGGGGTAAGGAGACTCACATCCCCGCGTCCGGATGAGGCAGTTGGGGATTTAAAAGCCCGTGTTAGCATCCCTGCGAGGGATTGGGGAAATTGCACCATGTGGAGGACCGAGGCGGCGGGGAATCGTGCTGTTCTGGCAAATAGACGAGCCGACTTGGTCACGGGGTAAAGCCGTGTCACCAAAAACATCGTGGCTTATTAGTGCGTCTTGTTGGTGGTATGGCGAAAGGATCTGCATGAGGAGACCGTCGAGATTCAGTAATTCGTCATAATGGATCGGACGTTGAGTCTCGCTGAGGGTATGTGGCCGCGATCGCTCAGATTCTAAAACCTTGCTAACTTGCTGCAGTGCAGAAGCATCAGACTGTCGACGACTGCTGGATTGCGTTGCATGGCAAAGTATATGATGTGAGAACATGGAATTAACAACACTTTTGGACATTTCGGCGCCAGCAAGGATGAGGTTGTTGACTTGGCTCTGGCAGATCACCGCGTTCCTCGCAGTCCATCCCGGCGGCAAGGCGATTCTTCTGAAGAACGCCGGCAAAGATGCGTCTGACGCTTTTGATTCGTTCCATCCCGTTGAGATCATAGATGAGTATCTCAAAAAATACCAGATTGTCGGAAGTTTTACGGCGGAACAGATGGAGAAGACTTCAGATAGCGAAGGCTCTTCCAAAGGATCACCAGAGTCCGCATCTCAGGGGCTCGACGCAGCAGTTCCCCCAGTATCACAAATTCTCAGCATATCAGAGATGGAGCACTATGCGATGAAAAAGCTGAGTCCAAAGGCCATCTCGTACTACGCGTCCGGCACAGACGACGAAGTGACGAAAGTCGGAAACGGCACCATCTTCAGGTCCATCCTCCTGAGGCCGCGCGTGTTTGTCGACTGCACACGGTGCTCATTATCAACCACTATCCTCGGCAAAAAAGTCGGCATGCCAATCTACGTGTCTCCCGCCGCCATGGCAAAACTTGCGCATCCGGTGGGCGAAGCAGGTATCGCAGGAGCCTGCTCAAAGTTCCAGGCGCTCCAGATCATTAGCAAGAACGCCTCAATGTCACCCTCGGCAATCGTCAAAGCAGGCCCAGACGCGATCTTTGCCTGGCAGCTGTACGTTCTGAAAGACATCGAGGCAACCGAGAGGACGCTGGCTCAGATCCGCGCCATCCCGCAGATCAAGTTCATCGTGCTCACCCTCGACGCGCCCTTCCCCGGGAAACGAGAGGCCGACGAGCGGTTCAAGATGGCGGAGGTCGCTGGGGGAGCGCCGCCTCAGGTCTGGGGCACCGAGTCGGGGCTGACGTGGGAGAAGACCTTGGCATGGCTGAGCAAGCACACGTCACTCCCGATTGTTCTGAAGGGGATCCAGACGCACGAAGATGCGTATGCGGCTACGTTGTTCTCGAGTGTCAATGGCATCATCATCTCCAACCACGGCGGACGCGCGCTGGACACCACGATGACGCCGGTTCAAGTACTGCTGGAAATTCGCAAGTTTTGTCCGCAGGTGTTTGACAAGATCGATGTGTTGATCGACGGAGGTGTCAAAAGAGGAACGGACGTTGTCAAGGCTCTGGCTCTGGGGGCTAAGGGTGTTGGAATTGGCCGAGCCGCGCTTTATAGCTTGGCTGTTGGAGGCCAGGCGGGAGTTGAGAGGGCATTGCAAAGTGAGTTCCCTTCGTAAACAAGGACATTTTTTTTGAAAGATACTGACGAGGTGTTATGCAGTTCTTGCAGATGAAACAGTCACTGCAATGAGGTTGCTCGGGGTAGAGCGTGTTGATCAACTTAGTCCAAGACATGTGAGTTGTATCTCTATGAAGTTTGAGAGTAAGAAACTGACAGGAGGACTCGCAGATCAACACAGATGGACTACAGGCAGAATTGTTCAGCGGAAGTTCTGGCCTCGAGGAGGTAGAAAGAGAATTGAAGTCTAAGCTGTGACGGATACTTGAAAGGAGACCCTCGTATTAGTAATTTGCACGTAGAAACTCGACCAGTTAACTGAATTCTGCAAGATTAAGCAACTAAATCAAAGACGCATGTCGCTATATCGCAACAGTTGCAACATAAACATGATGTGAAGGCCTGCACATACGACTCCGGCAACAACAGGCCAAGTTCTCAGAGAATCATGTCAGTTAACTCACCACTTTGGAGGCTCAAGTTCCACATGCTCTCAATGGAGCTCAAATGGATGGCAAAGGCCCACATCCACGGCTGCATGATTGGCTCACCACCCAGAAAACGGCTAGTCTAGACTGAAACCAAGTGGTTCGATAGATCATAGCCCCGTAGTTCCCCTCAAGAAGAGCGAGAATTTATAACCCCGTGTGGGACTGAGTCGCACGCGCACCGGAGAGTCTCCGGGGATGCAAATCTGGGGCCCCAACTTCTTACAGGGAGCCAGCTGGGGGCGGAATTGGCCGGAGATGGATCCAAACACCTGGGCCTATTTAGAGGAGTCGCGTCCCATTTTTGAAGCACCCATGCGCGAGTGTCGAGGGCGAATGCGCTCGATTTCAACGTTCATTACCTGGCTTCACATCTCTGGAAAGTGTCGCTGTTTTCTTCCCTTGTCTGAGTCAGTTGGCATATTGAAAAACCGTCGGTCGATTTTCGTAGCTGCGCATGATGGACCGAGATCGGGCAAAGGACGACCCTGTCAAGCACATTGACGATGCGGACACGGGCGCCGACACATACGCGGCCATCATGGCGACGCAAAAGCCTGATCCTCGAGGCCCTGGGTACATGAAACTGTATCTTCTTGCGTCAATGGTGTTCCTTTGTTCAACCATGAACGGTGTGTGCAGCTGGATGGGATTCAAGCTTACACTACTGACAATCTTTCAAAGGGTTTGATAGTTCTCTTATGGGTTCCATCAACGCGTTACCCAACTACACCGCGTATTTCGGATTGCCTTCCAATGGCAACACAAGCACCGGCATAGTCTTTGCTATTTTTCAGGTACGATTGGTGATGTTTTTCCAGCACGTACGCGGTCTGACGCTTGATCGTAGGTCGGCCAAATGTGCGGCGCCCTCTTCATCTGGATGGCAGACTGGTACGGCAGAACCTGGCACATCTTCTTCGGCTGCTTGGGAGTCTGCATTGGGACCATCGTGACTTCCTTAGCCACCAATCTTCCCATGTTCATCGGCGGTCGGTTCATCTTGTCTTTCGCAGCAACCTGCGCCCATACCTCAGCGCCTCTGTATCTGGTCGAGATCTCCCCTGCCGCGTACCGAGGTACGATCGCGGGCATGTACAACACCTTCTACAACGTGGTACGTAGACTCTTCATAAGAGATGGCAGTCAAAAGATGGTTGGCCCTAATGTACGACATGACAGGGCTCGATCTTGGCGACGTCAGCAGTCTACGCATGCCACTTGCACCTTGGCGACAAGGGGGACTTGGATTGGAGAATTCCGCTTTGGCTGCAGATGGTCTGTCCTGGACTGGTCTGTCTGCTGATCAAATTCTTCCCGGAGTCTCCGCGTTGGTAAGTATCGATCCTTGCTCTTTCCTCCGCCTTTTACAGCGGTTTTTCTAACATGGGCAGGCTTGTTGCGAAGGATCGCCATGACGAAGCGAAGAACATCATCGCGACCTACCACACCAATGGCGACCTCGACCACCCTCTCGTCGACTTGCAAATGAAAGAGATGATCAACTCAGTTGACCCAGCACACGTTCCATCATGGAAGGACCTTTTCGATCTGAGGGTCCTTGTTGAGACTCGCTCCAGCCGGTACCGACTGATGCTCAACGTTGCGTTCTCATGGTTTGGACAATTCAGCGGAAATAACATCAGTAAGCCCATGAACCTTACCCTTGAAGATGATCAAAGCTGATACCCGGCCTCTTTTAGTCTCGTATTATCTCCCGATCATGCTTTCCGGCGTGGGCATCACCGATACCAACACAAAACTGATCTTGAACATCGTGTACTCCGTCATTGGATGGGTCTTCTCCACCGCCGGATCTCGTTTGCATGACGTTGTTGGCCGCCGCAAGATGCTTATCACCACCACGGCAGGCATGACCGTCTGTTTGGCCATTGTTGCTGGCTGCTCCGCCGGCTACACTGATTATGGCAACACAACTGCATCTACCGTCAGCATCGTCTTCATTTTCATCTTCGGCGCCGTCTTCTCCGCGGGCTTCACGCCCATGCAGCCCATCTACCCGGCTGAAGTGGTCAGCAACAAGATGCGAGCCAAGGCGATGGGCACATTCAAGCTAACGGCTGGCGCTGCCGGGTTTCTCAACACCTTTGTTGGGCCGATTGCTCTCTCCAGTGTGAGTCTTCCTACCCCTGTCGTGATTGGGGTTATCAAGTGAGATGCTGACGTATCTGCATAGATTGGGTACTGGTTCTACGTTTTCTTCGTGGCGTGGGATAGTTTTGAAATTGCCTTCATGTACTTCTTCTTCGTCGAGACCAAAGGCTTCACGCTAGAGGAGTTAGACGAGATCTTTGAAGCTAAAAATCCCAGGGATGCATCTCTGCAGGCGAAGAAGCGGCAGACACAGATCATGAGGGAAGGTGCAGGGCCCGCTTAGGCTACAGCAAAGACCCCATGCGGAAAACGATAGCAATAGAAAGTCTTAGTGAAGTAATTTGCTCCCAAGCCTTAATAAGATTATCAAATTCATATTCGTAGTAACGATAGGAAACCGTTGGAAGACACTCTCAATCATTCAGAGAACATATCTAAAATCAGGGTTCTCCAGATCGGTCTTGTCATGCATTCCGAGTCTCACACCGTCCACATGCTGAGCTCCATCAACACCTCCGTACTTTTTGTCCCTCCGCTTGTTCTCCCAGGTCATGTAAAGTCTTAGAACAACAGCCGTCAACAGCGCAGCACAGAAGCACACCAGGATGATAGCGATAGCCAGGACATACTTCGGTGCGTCCTGGCTGCGGAAAAAGAACGGTCCAGCGATGTTCCCGGCGGCGAAGACCATGAGAAGTAGAGTGTTGGTAAAGGCACGCTTCGTGTGCCCCGCGATATTCTGTCCGACGATCGTGAGAATAAATGGCCACTGCAGGCAAATTAGCACAGTCCTTCCGTCGACGCATGCTCCAAGCTGACTTACCGTCACTGCATAAGAGTTGATCAGCCAGTAAGCCACCACGCGGCCATACTTGTTCGCCCCCGTGTCCATAGTTCCATAGACTGCGGCAATGCCAGCGATCGCGGGAAGAAGAGGAACGATCATGCCCCAAGTTCGCAAGTTTCCGTACTTGATGGAAATCGTGCCCCACACGATCATGCTACCAGCACTAACCACGGATGACGGAAGACCTATCAAGAGAGTCCTGAAAGAGTCGAAACCGAAGCCCGAAATGACCAGACTTCCGAACGATGTCAGACCGCCGTTGGGAAGCTGAGTAAAGAGAACGAACGCCAAGATGAGCCATGTCTTGACGTCAATCAGGGCGTGCCACATCTGGTAGTACTTCCACTCATACCCCTTGATACCGGTCATATTCTGGGCCACACGCTGGACGGCGATGACCTGCTCCTCATGAGTGAGGAAGCGCGCTTTGTTGGGCGTCTCGGGCATAAACAGAAGCCAGAGGACTCCGACAATAATGCTGAGGATTCCGAGAACGAGGAAGATGTACATCCACGGCTTGAGGGCCGTGTTTGTGATGTGGCCCAGGCCGTAAGATAGTAAGCTGCAGACGATGGAGAAGGCGCCCTGCATGGCGGCCCACAGCATCGTCCGGAGAACTTGCTCCTTTCTGGTGTACCAGATGGAGGTGTACAAGACGAATCCAGGGGTGACCACACTTTCCGTGACGCCGAGGAGGAAGCGGACAACCATGAGTCCGGCGAAGTTTCGCAAACCCAGATGCCTGAGACTCTGATTAGATGATGTGCATGATGAGGCCAACTGGAGTGCAGAGAACGAAAATGATACGCAACAAGGTTCAGACTGTCACTTACGCAAGCATCAAGATTCCCCAAGCAATGACTGCGCCAGACAGAATCTGGACAGTCTTGCAACGCTGCAGCAAGTAGTTGGCAGGATACTGAGCAGCAAGATAGCCGCTGACAAAGACATCAGCTGCGGCTCCTCTGGCAACCTAGATTTTCGAGGAACTCACAAGTAGAACATGGAACTGGCCCACGAGTATTCGTCACCAACAAGCCCAAGATCCTTTCTGAAGTTGAAAAGGACTGCCCATCCCATGGCGACTTTGTCGACGTAGTTGAGGCCATAAAGTGCGCACATGAGCACCAGCAGATGCATGTCGATCTTGCGTCTTACCGCATCGTCGACATCCTGCGGAATCGACTGCGAGACGCCCTCTTCGAAGATTTCGTAGCCCTCGTCGGCCTTCTGGTCCTTCAAAACGCCCTTTTCCTCCAGAACGGAGTCTCGTGCCTCTGGGGCCGCCTCGATATTGTCCTTCATCGTTGCTGGTGGCCGTGTCGGCAAGAGTTGAAGAGGATTGTTCTGGCGCAGAGTCGTGGCTTTCCTTTCGCTGCTCGTGATCGAAAATTGGTTCGCATATTCAACGGTTTTCCTTTCTCCCCAAACAAGGATCCCGGTAGTAGATATGCGGCATCATTCGAGTCCCATTTGCACTCGGATCATAGGTGCCGAACTGCGTATCAATTGTGGTGCTGTGTGCGGAGATAAACTGCAGACTCCGTCAATTAGAGTCAGCATTTTGGCGGTGCTTATCTTGTGGCAACTGGGGATTTGATCCTTCTTCCGGGTTATCGGAGCCGGTCCGACGACGTCGGCAATTCGCACTCAGTCTCGCTTGATAAGACTGCACTCAACAACAGCTAGACTGTGTTGACGGAAACCCACCCCGATCTGCATATAATTAAATAACCTGATACAAGATCAAAGCTAACAGTAGTTACGGCGTGGACCTTCCATGACTGAATGTTTGAGTCCCACATTGACATCCGGGGGCCTAGGATAGCTGACACCTTCATTGGACAGCAGAGAAGGATTGACTGTAAGATCCTACAGACTTTTGTTTTCCCTGATAAGAGCATCGCCAATAGAGTCGCGCTAGCCAACCCCAGGTCCGGGTTTGTTAGAGTTATCCTCGGGGAACCACAGCGATCTGCGGTGGATTCGGCGGTTACCGATATCCGGCTTATCGTGACGATTCGTAATGCGCAGACATCATCGAATTGTACAAGTCGTACTAACAGAAAGACTGCAGTTCCAAGCTCTCGACGAAAGTCTGTCGAAGACTAATTGATGCTGGTTGATTAGCAAAAGTGCAAGCCGATACAACACCACGACACCTACGGCGACATCAAGATTTACGACGGAATACCAACATGCAAGTACCGGAGATCGACCAAGAGCACTGTCTGAATCTCCTTTCCAGGCTCATCCAGATCAAGAGTTATTCTCAGACTGATGGAGAACTGGAGGCAACAAGATTCATGGCCGACCAGATGAGAAGCATCGGCCTGGAAGCAGATGTCTTTCCTTTCGACGAAGGCCGGAGACAGAATGCTGTTGGAATTTGGAAAGGAAAAGGAGTTGCTGGAGGTTCACAAACACCCAAGATCTTACTTTTCAATGGCCATCTGGACACGAACCCTGTCTCTGAAGGATGGACGGTGGACCCCTGGGAAGGCAAAATCGACGAAGAATATATTTACGGCATTGGAGTCAGCAACATGAAGTCAGGCTGTGCGGCCTACTTTTGTGCTGTTGAGGCGCTCCTTCAAAGCGGATGGCAACCGAAAGGCGACGTGGTCTTGACCTATGTTGTGGGAGAGCTCCAAGGAGGCGTCGGCACCATGGCTCTGATTGATCAGGGTCGGGTACAAGGGGCTGACTACTTTGTCAACTGTGAGCCGTCAGACATCAAAGCTGTGACAATGCATGCAGAAGCATTAGTCTTTGAGATCGAACTCATCGGGGTTACGCGACACATGTCCGCGAAAGAGGAGGCTTCCGACGCCATTCTGGCTGGATGCGAGTTGATCTTGCAGATGGACAAGATGAAGTTCCGCGGAGCAAAGAGCAGTGAGCATGAGAAATGCAACCGGTGTTCAGTGGGCGTTGTTCATGGTGCTCTTGGCAAGGACTTGGTTGAATGGCGGCCGGCTCAAGTTGCGGACGTTTGCAGGCTTGCCGGGAGCGCGAGATATGCTCCCGGTCAAACCCAAGACGGCGTAATGACTGACATCCGGGAACTGGTCGACAAGATCATTGAGAAGTATCCCGGGATGTCGGCGACGGTCAGCCAAAGATTTGAGCCGACGATGCCTGCGTTCGAGGTTTCACCCGAGTCGCGCATTGTGACGTCTTTGAATAAGGCTTACCGTGAAATTCGGAATCAAGAGCAACCAACTGGTGTTCTTGCGCCGACTTGTTTTTACGGGTCTGACGCCGGGCACCTCTTCAAAACTCTGGGTATGGAGGGGATAGTCTGTGGTCCCGGAGGGAAGTACAACACCAGGCCGGACGAAAAGGTCGACATTGTGGACTACATTGATTGCATCGAAATGTTTATGCGGTTGATCGTAGATATATGTGGTTAAAATGTAGAAGACAAATTGAACCAAGACAATTCCCGATCTTCATCATCTCATATGTACACATTTCAAGCTGTCCCAAGTCACCGGAGCACCTGTTTCTCTTATCTCTGACTAGGTCTCCGAGGTCCCCGCGCTGAAGTGGGGCAGGTATTAGACTGCCACAAGCAGATCCCTTACATATATCGCTTGCTCTGGCCGACCTCTGAGTGTTACATTTCTCCATGCGGGGAATCATCGATTGTTTTGACTTGTATGTCGACTATGGAGATCAAGGTCACTCAACAAGAGGCAGAAAAGCTGATGCTGGAGACTCCTACAACAGCCAACCTGCGTCATTGGTCCAAAGAATACAGCGCGGAACCCCATCTCGCCGGCGATCTGGCCCACGCCACACGCATCCGAGATCTTTGGAGATCATACGGCATTCCCACGGAACTGGAACAATACGATGTACTTCAAAACTTTCCGGTGTCACAAAGCCTGCAACTCCTCGACTCCGACGGAAAAGCCACATTCGAAGCTTCATTGACAGAAGACGAGGTTCCTGAAGATCCCTCGTCATCACCCAAGAATGGTCTCCCAGCATTTCACGGCTTCAGTGCCAATGGCGAGGCCTGCGCCGAGTTAGTTTACGCAAACTTTGGCGAGTTACGAGACTTTGAGCTTCTTGAGTCAAAGGGGATCTCAGTCAAGGGGAAGATTGTCATCTGCAAGTACGCCAAAGTCTTCAGAGGCTTGAAGGTTCGGGCGGCAGAACAGTACGGCGCTGCTGCTGTTATATTGTACAACGATCCACAAGAGGACGGGCAGTACACCGAGGCCAATGGCTACAAGCCTTTTCCATATGGACCGGCTAGGCACCCCAAATCTATTCAGAGAGGAAGCGTCGACTTTTTCTCGATAGCTGTTGGAGACCCTACGACCCCTGGGTATCCCAGCTTGCCTGGAAATGACGTCGAACGCCAGGATCCTGGACACGCAACCCCGAAGATACCATCTCTGCCAATATCCTATGCCGATGCTGTTCCATTTTTGAAGGTCTTGAATGGACAGGGTCTGAGTCCCTTTTCCATGATGGGCGAAGGGAGTGACTGGAAGGGTTGCCTTCCTGACGTCGACTACTCCACGGGACCAAGCAAAGTGCGAGTCTCATTAGCCAACCATGGTAAGGGTTCTCTCTTGTCTGAGACGGTCAAGCTTATGTCCATCCCGATTGATGCGCACTCACCTTTACTACGACCCTTCACGATCCTTCTAGCAGTGCAATTTGTCAATGCACACCTAGTTATCACTGGAGACGCAAGGATTGCTGATGCTGATTTACGTTGGGTAGGAACTTACAAATATGCTCCGATATATAATGTCATAGGTACCATCCGAGGAATGACAGACGAAAGCATTATTCTAGGGAACCACCACGATTCCTGGTGTTGCGGTGCTATCGACCCTGTTAGTGGAACAGCCGCTATGAACGAGGTCGCCCGCGCTTTGGGGGCCCTGTGTCAGAGTGGTTGGAAACCGTATCGCAAGATGTAAGTATTCAGAGAGTGGAATAGCACCTTCCCATTTCCGCTGAATCTGGCAGCTAATACGGATGTAGAATACTGGCAAATTGGGATAATGAAGAGTACGGCTTGGTGGGTTCCACCGAATGGGGTGAGCATCATCAAGAGGAATTAAGCAAGAACTGCGTCGCATGTAAGTCTAGGTAGGAATCCGTTATCACCCAGATATCACGACTGACTCCCGTTCAGACCTCAACGTCGATGAGGCTACAAATGGCGGCCAAGTACTCGGCGTCACAGGTAGCCCCCTGTTGGCCAGCGTCCTTAGGGATGTTACCCAATTGATCCGGTCGCCAATCCACGAAGGCAAGACTGTCTACAATGACTGGCTTGGTGATCAACGTCGGACCGACCCTGGGCGTCCGGCCCCAGTGCTTGACCTCATGGGAACCGGGAGCGACTACACAGTCTTCTTCAACCATCTTGGCATTCCTTCCGTTGACCTACTGTTCAATCGTCAGGGCCAAGGAGTTTACCCTTATCACTCCAACTATGATAGCTTCTACTGGGTTGAGAAGTTTGGTGATGTGGGCTTCAAGAAGCATCTTGCCATGGCTCAACTATGGGGACTTCTCACAGTTCGGCTCGCTGGTACTGGAAGCATCTTATTTGAGGCTGTGGAGTATCCAAAGGTTCTTGCGCACCACTCAACACAGCTGAAGACCAAATACGGGAGTTTGCTTGACCTCTCGACCCTTGACAGAGTGATCAGTCGATTTCATGCTGCTGCTCTCGAAGTGGACACGAGATCAAACACCAAAGCTTCTCCAACGAGCTTGCAACCCGATAGCGGCGTAAACACAAAGTATCTCAACCTTGAGCGTCATTTCTTACTGCCTAGAGGCGAAGGGTTGCCAGGGAGGGAGTGGTATCGACACATGGCAAGTACCATTCTTGCTAGATCAAACAGCAGGTCGCTGACAATTTATCAGATCTTTGCTCCAGGACTTTGGTATGGATACGATGGAGTCATCTTCCCCGGGGTCATGGAATGCATGGAGGCGGAAGACATGAAAGGTGCGACCGAGTGGATCGCGAAGATTGTTGAAGCTATTGAGAAAGTTACAAGACTTCTCTTGATTAACACTGGAGTATGAAAATGTTCATGATATTACGCATTCCGCTTTGGTTTCATACTAGCCTAATCTGACTTTCATGACAGACATCAAACCATGATACCCTTTCCAGTGCAAACCAACCAATGCGCCGCCACTTCTCTCCCTGTTTGACTAACATCAGACCTTCCCTCTCTATGATATTCAGACACCAAACCTCCTTGGCTGCCTCTTCGGGCACATCAAACATACCGATGGCGATTACTTTGTCACTCAAGGTGCTATCATCTGCGCATGTCTCTTCAGCGTCAGCGAGAAGAACCCCGTAATGTTTAGCCTTGTTCTTCCACCAGTACTTCCACCAATTTCGTGGTTTGCTTGAAACATAGTCAGCCGTCGGTGTGTCCATAACCGATGCTTTGGCAACATGTCCAATCAGACTAAGTTCGCAGTTTGGCATGTGAAGAGTAGCCGCATTGCAATAAGCATCGACGGTCCACCTATTGTTTTCCAGATGGGGCTTAATCTTGATGAACCCCGGCTTTCCAAAATCTTTGAATTTCCTGCCTGTGTGTTGGTGGTGTATTGGACCTTCGACTGAGGCCCACGACCATGATGGTGCTCGTACGACCGGTGGGGGGGCCAGCCTCGTAGGCTGAGGGCGCACAGAAGGAATACGGAAGCCTTGGTGTACGTGATGACGCGGTTTCCAAAGAAGGCCTCTGGCAATATCATCTTCCCACAGCCCAGCAACATAGTGAGAGCCAAGAACGCCAACAGCAAGCTTGGCGATGGAGGCTATGGCGGCAAAAACGTCGTGGGGATTGGATAAAGTGCGCAGTGTGAACCTATCGATCTGTGCATACCACATGGTAAGCGTTTGCTCCCTCCGTATGTTCACATCTTTGGCCGTGGATGGGAAGACTGGAGGGGACGGCATGCCGGGCGAGCCCCAGACTTTAGTCGTACCGTCTTCCCAAGAGCTCCAGGTCCGACAATTGTATACGATCTGCTCCTCGGCAAATTGAATGGTGTATTTGGAGAGAAACTCTTCTTGATAACACCAGCCACGGGTGGTCGTAGGACCAATTGATAAATTGGTAGGCCGATCGATATAGAGAATATCGTCACTTGAAGGGGATAAGGGAATCGGGCATGGCTGCCGCTTCATCCCAGCCAGAGGCTTTATGAAGCCTTCACGAGAGTCCGAAGAGCGTGCGGCCACCACTGTCAGAGCTGCGTTGCCGTAGACATGTTCCATACGCCTGGACTCAAAAGCCCAGTCGTCTTCGTCACCCTGGATAATACAGAGGGCATCAATCCACAAGTATTTAAATCCAAGGGCCCGAGTAAACTGAATAATTTCTTGGTGAGATTTCGTTAGGCTCTGCTCCGGGAGTTCGATGACGAAATCATCGTAAGTGTGGCGAGTCAATTTGACAGTGTCTGTCGAGGGTCCCCAGCAATAAGATAGCGCCAAATATGGTTCGCAAAGACCATTTGTAACCCGAAGCCTGGATTTGCGGTCCGTTCCCACTTCGATAACACGTGTGGGCATCTGTAGTGAATGTGGTCTTGCACAGCGAGTGTGTTTCTCGCGGCAGTCTTTTAGCCGGGAAAGAGTGAACGAGATGTACAGGTCGGGGTCGGGGTCTATAGCGATGCATCGTTCGAGATATATCGAGGCAGCAGCAGATCCATCGATACTTGCATCTATCAGCCTGATGAAACTGTACGTAGTATTTGTTGAACGGGGTTCAATATTGCACACTCACGCGTAAGACGATAGCTTGATGCTTAGTGGGGATCCGGGAGGGTTGGTCTCTGACAAACCCAAGTCGACCGATGTCCGACTTCGTCCGCAAGTGATCCAAACGCCATCTGCACTATCCGATGCAACAGGTACGATTTGACCATGAAGCCAGATGCTGGGATACCATGGCTGGTCTCCATCAAGTGAGCTTGGTCTTTCCCCGTTGAGGAGCTCAGTAAGATACTGAGGCATGCATTTGGCCTCAATACTGACCCAACAAAGACCACAGAAATCACAGCCTGTTTCGGCGCTCTCCTTGAGGGATTTAAGATCGTGGTGGAATTTGATATCCTGGTAGAAAAGGTATTCAACAGTGAGCTTTGCACAAGAATCGCAATACGCCATCATGAAAGAATTTGTAGCTGCGACGTAGAGTTTCTTCTATGATGTGGAGCCTCTTGAAGTTGTGCGTAGTCTTGTAGCTCGGTAGGTTGCTATCTATGAGGTCCACAGATGCCAGAAGGAGGGATTCTAACCAAATACCGGTTGGGGCTGCGAGTTACCTTAAATAGAGCTTCAGGCATATAATCAAAGGTTAAGGCCAGGTGTAAGCAGACAGATCATTAGTGCTTACCAAGCCGGGCGTACCTAAGTCAATTGCTGTGGTTGGCATTCGTTGATGACTGCATGGCACCAGACTCGGCCGAATTCTGTTCTGGTTGGTCAGCCCAGTCCTCTCCGCGAAATAAGCCAACAAGAATTCAGAGTACAGAGATGACAGAAAGCATGGGGAATTACATCGATAATAGGTAGACGACGAAAGATAGGAGAATATTTGCTGCTGCCAATTTAGTGTCAGCCGTCCTTGTCCTGAAATTGACTACATACTACCTAGGTAGGTACATTCAAGACCAAGAGACACGCCTGTAGCTATGCATTACTCTGTCCACCTCATTTTGGCAGACGTGCTCGCTCATCAGCACAGTTTAATCGAGGGCATCCATTCTTAGTACTCCCAATGAACACAATACCCACGAAATGTTTATAGTCCATTTGCATTCCAAGCGGAGCTTAGAAATCTTGCCCTGCTATTATGTATGGCTGAGAAACTGGTCTATCTCCGAAGAACATGGTGTCTAGGCTTCGGTCATGTCTTTCGATTCCTTCGCAACACCTCTTTTCAAGCGGCTTGAATGTGGACCGAGGGCGGACTATAGTTGCGGAGTGGTCATTGAATTTATAAACTGCACATTTTCATTCAAGTAAGCCCGACGTAAACATTAAGGGTCAACGTATTTGTGTCGTCATATCCAGAGTTATGTACCAAGTCAAAATTGCCCCATTAAGCCCCTTCTAAGACTTTCTGTTGCCAGCAGACGTTGTTGCCTTTCCAACTCAAGATTACTGTGAGCCGGTCTACGGAGTTGAGACTCAAAGTCAGCATCTAGCAGCCTATATCGGCTTCTGCTACTAAAGTATGCGTCCAAATATGAAAAAAGCGTCGTTAAAGTTCTTCTTGGCCGAGGCGGAAGAGATTCCCAGCCCCGCGTAGTACTGCTTTCACAGATTGATGCAACTGTGTCGCCTCCGCCAAATTTAGTGGTTGATAGGGTTGTAAGCGACGAGAAAAGCGTGCGGTAAAGATGTCTCATTCCCCTTGCGTCAATCGTGCATGTTGAAATCGGAGGAGGAGCTGATCTGTGCTGCAGATGTAGTGAAAAAACGTTGGAATGGCTCTTGAATACAAGACAAAATCTCGTCGGTAGTCGTGTTGACGACTCATCTTGGACTCTTATGGTGGTTGAAGAACCTCTTTAGTCGTGATACCGTACTTTTTCGAACAACAATTTCCCCGGATGAAGTGTCCACGAAATCGCCAGTCATGGTATCCCGCTCATGTTTCTTAATCAATCTGCTTCTCGCAACCAATCCTATTCAGGAAGTCCTTCCGGTCGCTGTGGCTGCGAAGTCTGGCGCCAGTTACCCTCGAGCCCGTACTCTTTTTGGCGTTGCGAAACTCCCATGCTTTGAGATCGATGGAGTCAACACCCACCTCCTTCTCAACAGCCTCCATCACCTCGTACTCGATCTCCGTTTCCTCAGCCTCCTCCACGTCACTTCTGACATCTTCAGCTGAGGCGCCCTTAAGAACGCGCACCGTCACGCGGATGATGAAGTATGACCACGCGCAAATGACGACCTCGAGGGCCAGCAGAAACGTCAAGAAGCCCCGGCGAACGCCATCGGTGAAGCACACAGTTCCTGCAGGGTCTTTGAATGGCTCCAGAAGATGCGACCAGCCTTCTGTCGGCGCGAGAAATGGGCCCTCGATTTCGCCAGGTGCGCCCCGGAAACACGGCATCTCTGCGGCTTTTGGTAGGTCGTTGTAGACACTCCAACATACCATGAGGTAGAAAACGTGCCGGGTACAGACCCAGACAAACAAGAAAAACCCGAAGACCACGTCGCAGATCTTCTTGAAGCCGATGTACTTGAGGCACTTCGCCAGCTGTTGTATTGTTAGCAAGGATCCTCTGCAGCGTTTTCGTATCCACTAATCTCACTGGGAAGATCAACTCAATCACATCCATCAGTACCAAGATCAGATGACCGACTCGTGTCTGATGATATGCGTAGCTTGCGGCGATGAGAGACAGCGTGATTGCGTGGTGGACCAGCATTTCCACGTAGTCCTTACGCTTTTCCTCAATATTGACTGAAATGACCTGCTGGGCCCAGTACGCCCATTGAGCCAGTATGTATATCTTCATGAGGCCATCGAGCTCTCTCTGAGGCCAGTTGGACCACAACTCCTTCATATTGAGATAATAAGGTGATTTGAAGTAGAGGTACTAAGGGCCAGTCAGTTTCGTGGGTTTCGTGGTCGGTTGATGCTCCGTGTCAGAAATACCATTCCCAGAGGCCAGAAAACCACGTAGTAGGTCAGCATCCAACCTTGTTCCGCGAATCGCGTCTCATCTTTCTCCTTCTTGATACCCCAGTGCCTGCCAAGGGGTGAGAGGACATGGTTCATCAAGGACGCGCGGATACCGATGCAGAGCACTACGCAGAGAGCGACGAAGCAGAGGTCGTTATGGCCGGCGCCATATTTGCCTGTGTTTGGGTTATAGTATGAAAGCTCAAAGAACTTTGACGTGAAGGGACGGGCTGCAGGGATAAAGATGTACGCAAGCAGAAGGGGCCAGATGGTGTGAAACGTAAGGCCTGTTCATGGGTTGGATGTCAGCATTGCATGGGGTGCGGCATTGGGAGGTAATATCTGCAGCCAGGGACATAGTCAGCACTTTCTTACATACCGGTCTGATTTTCAAGCAGCCATTGAGCGATTTTGTCCAATCGCCCTCCTTCTTTCCTCTTCGCCTTCCTGGTCTTTGTCTTCTTAACTCTCAGCTCAACAGACGCGCGGTCCAGGTGCGCGATATCGTTCGAATCGCCCATATTCCTTCGGCCACACAGATTCACTCATTCAAGGCAATGACAGGTTCTACGATGAGTTCGTGATGGTCAGGTGAAAAGAAGCATGCGGGTGTGCACAGAAGAAAATGCGTATGGTAGCCGATCGGGTTGTCGAGGAAAGCTCTGCACCGCATGTCGCTTAAAAGGTAATG